GCCGTGAGTCTCGTCTTGGCCGCTAGATCGCGCCAGCGACGGTGTCGCCGAGCTGCTCGTCGCGGCGCGAGCACCCCCCGCGACCCACCCTCCCCGCGCACTCTGCTGCAGCCCTCTTTTGCTACTTGTTGGTCGGCCCACTGGACGGGGCTGTACTCTGATGCCTGTCCGCCGCACCGACCGCTTTGTTGTATACGCGAGCGACAGTCAGTCGTCGTCGTGTACAATTCCATTTGCGGTTCCTTCTGTGCACCGCAACGTGTACTACCACCCCCACCCGCGTGGAACGATCTGTACTCACCACTATGGCTACAACCGACTATAGGCTTACAATAGGTTTTTGCAGTTAAAATACAGTTCAAGTGCAGAAATTTGGGAACAAAGACAGGAAATGACAAAAACTGCTGATAATCTTGTTTAACTAGCTTTGAACTGTATTTCCAAAATATTAGCAGTCCTAACTACAGTTTGTACACCCTGTACGCCCCTATAAAGCCGTCTCCACCCCCTGCAGTTCAGAGTTAAAGAGGCCATCTGGAGTTTTAACAATGTAGTCAGCTCACCTGATATTGAACGGGATTGGGATGGTTGCTGTAAGAATAATGCCGAAATTTACGGTATACCTTGTAATTAATATAAAATATATTGTAAATTTATCACACCCCAATCTTGTTCGGCGATGAATTCCACGTCGATACATGGTCTTATGGTCTTTACAGTTTTGAATTATAATTTTAAGGCACGCTTGATGAAAATTTTCCTGTTAAACCTATCTTTTATCAACTATTTTCCACCGCAAGTAAAATAGCAAAATTGAGACAAAAATTACCTGCAGTGCGAACTGTTTATAATAGGGCCAACTGATTTTGACCCTTGCTACAAACTCTATGCAGCCCCCAAAATGCGAGTATTGCTGATTTCTATTGGGCTTGTGGGTAGGTTGGCTTTGCGGCGCGAGTAGGCAAAGATTCTATCGTCATGAACCTTCACCAAGTAATTTCATTTCCCCCTTGCTTGACAGAGCTATTGGCGTAGTGGTTCTTTGTACTTGAAGAAAACGCAAGTCTTATGGTCCACCGACAACTTCCAGCAGTGGCGCGCAGTTTGTTCGTTGTTGAACGTGTGCTGTCCTATGTGTGCCCCCCTACTCGGTTGACTGCAGCAGTGTAGTAGCACATTACAGGGCAGGCTTCGCTCAAGTTGATTGATTCGTTGATTGCGTTGCGGGGCTGTGGCATTGACCGCTCCCCCCCCCCC